GAAAGTTTCCTGTCCTAATAGTCTCAAAATTGCCTATTGTAATTTTGATGTACCCATTTCGTTTGACCCTTAACTTCTTTTGAGTATTATATGTAGAATATGGACACAGGTGGTAGAGAATCCGTAGGGTGATACAAGGCCAGAAGAACAAATTTGTATTGTAATTTATGTGAAGAGGTTATGGCAAGATGACCTATAGGTGAAGACTTTACCGTAGTTACAGTGCGAAAAGGCAGTACAGTTGTCAATATCATACAGGGCATGTAAGTAATTTTTAATCCAACAAACTATGGATGCAAATTAGAACATCTCTTTGCGCATATTTAGTATTTTGTTGCGATGGTAACAAGGTTTATTACCTCATTTCGGTTTTCTTTATATCCAGAAATGATATGTATCGAGAATTAACCTTGCATCTGTATCTATCACATACACGCTCACAGAATATGTGAATAATTGATTCAATCTCAACATTACAAAATGTACAAGAAGTCCGTTGTATTCAATTAATGATTCTATGGACAAGTTTATATTGCAGCCATTGTTGTGTATTATAAGTTGTTCTAAAAGGTACAAAGTTAAAAACTTTCAAGAGTTGTTCTGATATATCTACTTTGATATCCGTGTTCCTTTTAAGTTGGTGATTTAGCTTTTCTTGTAATGTATGTTTCCTTAGCAGGACAGAGAAGAAAATCTTGCATCCTTCACGTTCTTTGTAAAGAACATGTATGTTATCATCAATAAATGGCTACTAAGAGTTAGTCTAAAAAAACGTAAATATGATTTGATGGAGTTGATGGTATCCCTATATTTTAAACAGTTTGTCTTGATTTTGTATAAGGAAGTAAATTCGTTATAGGTCAGAAAATTACCATTTTTTTTTGCAGTAGAACATTAATGAATTTAAAATTTCTCTTCAAGTAATGTTTATAAATAACTGGTATTTGATCTACGATGATATTGTCCTTTGCCAATGTATATTGCTGTGAAGGTTCAGTATCAATGTCATCATTTGATTGTAAAGATTGTATATTTGCCCATAATTCATAAACATCTCGTAGGTCTCTTCGTAGGTCGATTCTCGATACGTAGGTCTCTTCTTAACAACATTGCCTTGTCTTATCAACCTGTTTTAGTTTGTCTTTCAACCATTTCAGCCTGGTTGTGTTGAAACTGAATACTGATTAAAGTAAAGGGTCTCTGAGAGCAAACTTGTTTGCAAGTCTTGCAGGTTTGAATGCCTGAGTATTGTATCGAACCAATCTATATTGTCTTAGTTTTTTTTCTATTTCTAACTTCTGCATATATATTAAGTATATCCAAGATCCAAGAGCTTTTCCATGTTCCATCATGAATAAGTGTTGTGTCGTCTGCAAATTGCGTTAGTAAATATTCATTTTCAAAAAGTTTAATACCCTTTACTTTTTTATTTTCCCTCAACATGTGTGCCCGAATTTCTGTACAGATAAGGTTTGGTGAAAGTGGATCACCTTGTTTACATCCTCTCTAAATATTCACTGGAATAACCATTTACTAGAACTCTTGACTTTATATCATTGTACAATGTTTTAATCCAATGTGTAATAGAGGGTCCAAAATTATATTATTCTTCAATTTTCAAAAACTTGCTATTCAACAGAATCAAATGCTTTTTCAAAGTCGATTAGTATAAGATAGCCTGGTATGTTCATTTGTTCGGTGTATTCCATTATGTCTGCTACCAGTCAAGTTCAGTCGCCAATATACTGAGAGAAACAAATAAAGGATCACCGGAAAATTCAAGCGTTCCTTTAATATTTTCCAGTTTTCATCACCACAGCGCTATTCAAAGCTGGTGATGAAAACAGGAAAATATTTAAGGAACGCTTGAATTTTCCGGTGATCCTTTATTTGTTTCTCTCAGTATATATCTCCCTTTCATACATCCTTTTTGATCATCACTAATGATAGTTGGTAGTATATTTTTCATACGCGCTGCAATCAGTGCTGATGCTATTTTGTATGTATGAGGACATGGGTCTATATTTTCTATGTACTATAACAAACAAAATAATAATAATTCGAGTCCTTTTCTAATGATATTGGCATGACATTTGGACTTGACAAATGTAATACTCTTCATTTGAAACGTGGCAAGGTAGTTAATGATGGATCGGTCAAGTTACAAGGAGGAGGAGTTATTGAGCATCTTGTGGAAGATCAGGCCTACACCTATCTTGGAATGCAAGTTCCAGACGAGCTCCAGAATGCGCAAATTCAAGAAAAACTTCGGGCTGAGTACAAATCTCGTTTAAAGAAAATCTGGAGCTCAGAGCTAAATGCTCGTAACAAGGACAAAGCCACCAATACGTTTGCTGTGCCAGTCCTCTCCTATTCCTTTGGAGTAGTTGACTGGACGAAACAAGACATCCAGAGTCTTGACCGCGTGACCAGAAGGATCATGTCTGATAACAGAGCCCACCACCCTCGTTCCTCTCTTAACCGTTTATACATGCCAATCAATTCTGGAGGTCGGGGTTTGATTAATGTGGAGGCTCTTCATGATAGAATTTTATTGTGTACTTTTGCATATATTTATTTATCGGATGATCCTCTAGTGATGCATGAAAGCAAGGAATTCCACAGCTATTTTAAGCGTGCCAAGGTTGTTGGACAGAATCTGAGATTTGAGGTTGATTTTGTTGATGGCGATGTACTGCTGGACGGTACAGTGATGGGAGTAAACCAGGTGAAGTCCTTCACCAAGTCTGCCCAGAGTCGGTCTTTTGTGGATAAGCTTTCTGAGAAGCCATTGCATCGTGTGTACATGCAGTGTGTTGAACAGAATAGCAATCCCACCGACTCCTTTACCTTGATGAAGTCGGCTGGTCTTAAATGTGAAACTGAGGGCTTCCTTTTTGCTGCTCAGGACCAGTCACTTCCTACTCGCAATCGCCTAAATGTGATTCTTAAAGAAAATATCATTATGAAATGTCGGCTTTACAATGAATTCACAGAGACTGTCCAACACCTTGTCAGTGGATGCCCTTCCTTGGCACAAACAGCATATCTTAAACGACATGATGGCATGGTTCGTTGCTTTTACTACCGTCTCCGACATGCCTGTGGCTTTGACTCCGAGGTCCATCCATGGTACGACCCTGAACATGTCCAGGGCGTCATGGAAAATGATGCATTCAAACTTCTGTGGAATAGGCCCATGTACAGCCTCAGAAGAATTCCTGCCAACAAACCGGATCTTGTCCTTTTTGATAAAGCCAATGAATTTATTTATATCATTGAATTTTCTGTCCCTTTTGACACCAATGTGATTGGCTAGATTCAGGAAAAGCATGATAAATATGCGGACCTCGCCTTTGAAATGTCTCGCTTGCATCCCAAGTACACTGTCGCCTTGGTCCCCATTGTTCTCGGTGCCCTTGGTTTGGTACCTCCTGATCTCTTGGCGATGATCAGGAGAGTGCCTGGGTTCTCCACCGGGAGTACAGCCCTTCTGACACTCTGGGTAATGCAGAAGGCTGCAGTGTTGGGGAGCCTTCATATTCTCCGGAAAGTTCTTGGTGGGTTCGTCTAGGCAGCGTTTCCTGGGAGAAGTCCCATTCGCTGTCTGGGCTGCGTGTAGAAGGGGGCAAAGGCCCTGAGCTGATGATGAGCCTTACCAGCCTGACTGTGCCAGGATCACCCGAACCCTCTCTGCTGCATACAATGTTTAATCTGTAAAACATAATAATAATAATATAGGCACTTACATAGCGCTGAACTCCATGCCGCAGGGGCATGCCCTGAGTGCATACAAGATGAAGGACATTATTACCCGGGTTAACCCAAGCTGCCTGTGAGGCGCTAGAAGGTTAGTAGACATATGACTTATGCCACCGGGTACCCATTTTCTGCTGGGTGAACAGTGGCAAATTTAACCAAACCCATTTCCCTAAGGTGGCCTGTTACTGAATCTGTTAGTGTGCGTGCGTTGCCCTTTCATGGCACTTGTTCTATTGTTTTCTAGAGATTCTATAACGAAATGTACTGCCTCTTTCTCAATGTTAGATGTTCCTTGCTGTTGTGATTACGTCCGCATTATACAATGGAGATAGAAAATGTTTTTGTCGATTTTATTGATTCCACCACTGTATATGAAAGGAAGCGCCACTCCACTCGACATTACACGATCAGTAACCCATTGTCACTAATCTTGTGGCTTCAATACATTCTGGCCTGACTATTTGCTTAGAGCCTATTAATAAGAATGATACACATAAATGTGAATGACGAATGTGCTGTTGGATATTCTTTTGCCTCTCAAATTCGCTTGGGAATTCGTCCCTGTCTCTAAAAAATTAGAGGCTGGAAAAATTAAAGGTATGCCTCTATACCTTGCACCAGGGCGCATGTTTCATTCATGGACTCGTTACAGGAGAATGTTGACTATAACCTGATACCTTTGGATAGGGGCATTGTTATGCGCAAATGTATTTATTGATTCGGAAACAAAACAGACGACGCGAGAACGGACGAGTCATGATATCGGTAGGGAACGTATTGGTATTGATGTGATAAGGAATCGATGAATTCAAATGATATGATTTCATGTACTTGTACTCCAGTGGAATCTTAGTGGAAGTAACACACCACCTGTGTGGATGGCTCGTTGATGCTCAAAAAGCCGTGTAGTGTACGTGTGAATGAATCACGCACTCCTCTGGACGATAAGTGCAGTGGCCATGTATATTCTGAGGCAGATTTGACTCTGATGTCAGTCTTTGCTGTGGCTTTCTCCGGTCTTGTATCACATGATGATGACTATGTACAAAGAGAAGTTCTATGTGTTGACTCTTGTGTTGTGTCAACCGATATCTGTCTTTTCATCATTTTGTGGACTTCATCTTCGGCGTCATGTAAGTTTGGACGGTCTGTTGTTTACCGAAGCTTTTGTCTCTGAGCATGTCGAAGGTAGACTGTTATTGTGCGCGGGACGTTGTCATCTTCTCTCCCTTTGTAACATGCTGCTGTACAACCCAACGTCCAAACGATGCCGCATGTACAAGTCGTTCGTCAACACAGGAGGAACAGAGGACACGGGCTGGCAGTACTATGCAGGTAAACTTAAACTTTCAGAAGTGCATCTGTTGGAAAGTAAATTTATTTTAAAATAAGTATGGAAGAATTGAAACAGTAATAAATAAGCCATTCTGACTTCATAACACTTTTGACAACGAACATTAAACAAACAAGATTATCACTGATATGCATGTAAAACAAACTAGTGTGAAACAAATACACTCTTCCAAAAAGACACGCATCGGCGTTTTCAGCTGTTCATTCAGATATATTTTGACAGCAATCGACATTTCCTATATTTGAATCAAGCTAGGGTCCATGCAGGTAGCAAAAGTAATATAAGTCCCCATGGCCCCTAGTATGGTGATCTACCTTCAGTTGTTGGCGATCTATAGCCCATTTTTATATTGTGTTGTCCCCTATAGTTAAAATGTTTTAGATTCAATTACTAGTTTTACATATATATCTGTGATACTCTAGTTGCTTTACTGTCCTTTGTCGGCAGGTTTTTATAATATCTATATATATATATTGTTTTTCAATATCAAATGTCCTCGTCACGATATGGCTGAAATATTGCCGATGTGACGTTAAATATTAACTCACTCACTCACTCCTATATTTGAATCCTGTTAATCATGTCGTGGTTGTTGTGTAGTGCGCGCAAACGCATCCCAAAATGTGTTTGTAAACGTTTGTCATAAAAAAATTAGAACGATATATGAAAAATTGTTGGCAGAAAAGGCTTTCCACGTAATGCACAAGCAGTGTGTCGAACACATGAGTAGAACCATTGACTATAAAATGCCAAAGTTAAATTCATCATTTCATTACGCAATTTATGAAAAGCTGAGATAACAAAAATGCGTAGATTGAATGCTACTTTCCGGAATATTGCCATTGGACGTTTGAAAGCAGGGGACTCCCAGGACACTTTAACGTCCACCGCAGCACCATATCTCGAATATGCTATCGATATACCCTCTTCAATTCGACCCAAGAGTGACCACTCCTGCACCAGTTCGTACAAATATTTGGGAATGTTCTTTAGTAATTGTTTATCTTGGACAACACATGTTAATTACACTTGTTTGCAAGCACAAAAGGTCATGATAAGTATCTTTAAACAATTAAATGTACTTGGTGATATAAATATAAGTTCATACTTTAAAATATTTGATGCCAAAATGAAGCCAATTTTATTGTATGGAGCCGAAATATGGGGTTTGAATTATTACAGTGATATTGAAAGAGTTCAATTGAAAGCATGTAAAAGATTTCTTAGTGAGTGAGTGAGTTTAGTTTTACGCCGCACTCAGCAATATTCCAGCTATATGGCCGCGGTCTGTAAATAATCGAGTCTGGACCAGACAATCCAGTGATCAACAGCATGAGCATCGATGTGCGCAATTGGGAACCGATGACATGTGTCAACCAAGTCAGCGAAACTGACCACCAGATCCCGTTAGTCGCCTCTTACGACAAGATAGTCGCTTTTTATGGCAAGCACGTGAGTTGCTGAAGACCTATTCTACCCCGGATCTTCACGGGTCCAGATTTCTTAGTGTTAAATCCAATACGATGAATACAGTGGTGTATGGAGAATGTGGTAAATACCCGATGCACTTATTTACAAATATCAGAGTTATAAAATACTGGTTAAAATTACTGAAGATGCCTTCTTATAGGCTACCAAAGAAATGTTACAATATGATGATGCTATTCGATAAAAATGGACACACAAATTGGGTTTCTGCTGTTAGACATTTTCTATTCTCGAAAGGGTTTGGTTTTGTATGGAACGATCAGTATGTTGATTCTGAGGGTAAGTTTATTTTAGAACTAACACAAAGATTAAAAGATATCTATTTGCAAGAATGGTTTGAAAAGATATCACTTTCCAGTAAATGTCTGTATTATAAGATGTTTAAATGTACTTTTGACTCCGAAGCTTATCTGTCATGTCTAAACGTAAAAAAGTATAGGATAGCGTTAAGCAGATTGAGATGTTCTTCGCATAATTTATCTATCGAAAGTGGAAGATTTAAAAATGTCAAAAAAGAAAATAGAACTTGCAAACTATGTGATCTGAACCAAATAGAAGATGAATATCATTTTCTTTTAATTTGCCCTGCTTATAATTCCATCAGAAAGTTGTATATTAAGAAATATTATTGTGCCCATCCAAACCTTTATAAATTCTCAGCATTGTTGAACAACAAAACCCATACTATACTTCAAAACTTGTCCATGTTTGCTTACTATGCCATGTTGTTTAGGACAGAATATATCTCAGAACACAATGTAACCTAAAGTTGATTATTTTCCCTTCTTCATGTATATTATCCGTGCGTGTAAATATTGATTTATAAATGCACTGTACTACAGGCCTGTGGCCTTTCAGTACCGAAAATAAATATAATATATTGCGCGCAAACGCATCCCAAAATGTCTTTGTAAACGTTTGTCATAAAAACATTTAAACGATATATGAAAAATTGTTGGCAGAAAAGGCTTTCCACGTCATGCCCGAGCAGTGTGTCGAACACATGAGTAGAACCATTGACTATGAAATGCCAAATCAAATTCATCATTTCATTACGCAATTTATGACAAACTGAGATAACAAAAATGCGTAGATTGAATGCTACTTTCCGGAATATCTCCATTGGACGTTTGGAAGCAGGGGACTCCCAGGACACTTTAATGTCCACCACAGCACCATATCTCGAATATGCTATCGATATACCCTCTTCAATTCGACCTAAGAGTGACCACTCCTGCTGAGGACCGATTCATCCGGTGTTTCACCTTCGTCCCCGATTTGCTTCACCAAACCATCAGAAATCGTCTGAGAGAAGTGGGAATTCGAGCATATCGACCAAAAGTTGGTCCTGTCCTGTCACGACTAAACCGACAAGGACGTGTCCAATGGTGCAACAGTATACAGGTATGGAACCCGGGGAACACATGGAATGTGTTTGGTTCAGCGATCAATCGCATCTCCTCCTGCAACGATGGGATGGGAGACAACGTGTCTATCGACGTCTACACGAACGTTTTGCGCCGAACTCCGTTTGACAGGTGGACAGATTTGGTGGAGAGAGCGTCATGGTGTTGGAAGCCATGTCCTACACAGGTAGATCAGAGCTAGTGGGGGTTCAACTCTTACAGCAAATCGCTACATCTACCAAATCCTGCGACCTCATCTCCTATTTGTAACCGCAAGAGGGAGTTGTGTCAACAGAACAACGCTCGACCACACAGAGCTCGTGTAACAGGTGCCTATCTCGTCAATACAGACGTCAGTGTCCTTCCCTCCGGTTCCTGATCTGAACCCGTTCGAGCATCTGTGGGACGAACTTGACCGACGCGTCCGTAAACGTCACCATCGTCCTCAGACACGTGCAGAACTTGCCAACCAGGAATGGCAAAGTTTCCCCAAGGAAAAATCCGAGGACTTGTGCAATCCTTTCCAAGGCGCTGTCGAGCAGTGACAGCTGCAAGGGATGGTGTCGCCAGGTACTGACCTGAACGCCCCCTTGTGTCCACAAATATGCAGGGAGTGAACTGGCTTACTGACTGACTGAGTTTAGTTTTACGCCGCTTTTAGCAATATTCCAGCAATATCACGGCGGGGTACACCAGAAATGGGCTTCACACATTGTACCCATGAGGGGAATCGAACCCAGGTCTTCGGCGTGACGAGCCAATGCTTTAACCACTAGGATACCCCACTGCCCCGTGAACTGGCTTAATACTGACAGTGACAACAATACATATACTCTTAAAAAACAAACTGTTTTGGAGTTTATTTAATGGGTGCTTATAACTGATTCAACCGTGACATCATTGTTCAATTGCAGTACTATCATCACTTTACAAATTTCAAAACAAGATTATCGAGAAAGTGTTTGGTAAAACTACAGAGGGATGTTAAAGCCACTTGGTCAGAGTAATATGTTAGTATCTGGTTTGACCACCATGAGCATCGACAACAGCTTGGAAGCTGCAGCGGCGGCCCGTAGAAGAAAGGAGATGCCGAATGCTGTCTTAAGGAATGTTTTGCTACTCTTCCTGACGTGCTGTGTGTAGTTCCTGTATTGTCTGAGGTGGCGCAATCGTCAAGAATATCCCATAGATGTTCAATGGGGGACAATTCGGGTGATCGAGAAGGTCGTGATAACACCTGAACGTCGATTTTTGTAGGAAGTCCTGGCAAACACGTGCAACGTGAAGTCGAGCATTGTCATGCTGGAAAGAGCTGTCAGGCCATTATGATGGATACCTGCCCACACCATGACACTTCCTGCACCAAATCTATCGACCTGCTCTACACAGTTATCGCCTTAACGTTCATTCTGACGTCTGTATACACGTGAACGTCCATCAGCACGTCTGAGAAGAAACCGAGATTCATCCGGGAACAAACTTGTCCTTCATCTTGCCCGCGGCCATCTCACTCCTTGTCTGTACCATTGTAGACGTTCAGCCCGGTGACGTTGTGTCAAGACGTTACGTCGAACTGGTCTCCTGGCAAAAAGTCCGGCTTCCTGTAGCCGATTGCGCACTGCCTGGTCGGAGGTTCGGCGCAGTCCAGGGATTTGGGTTGTTGTGGATGTTGCGGTCGTGGTGCGCGAACGAAGATGTCTCAACCGGATGTAGCGATGCTTGGCGGCGGTAACACTCCCAGTATTTTTGTATCGGGTCCATAGGTCTGAGATTGCCTGTCTGGACACGCCGAAGTGCTTTGCCGCCTCATGCTGCGATGCCCCACCTTGTAAACGGCCGATGGCAATGTGTCGTTGAACTTCTGTCAGTCTTGGCATTCTTCTGGCGTCAATAGTGGATTAAAGCAATGGATGTGAGGTACCGTTGATGTGGCTTTTTACAGACTACAGCCATAGGCTTCAGCTCGGGGTGCATTTCATGTAGGGAGCGTTTTAGCGATTCAATACAGACGTGAGTGTGACGTTACGTTTTTGTTCAACGTTTCTTTTTCTAAACGTTTTGTCGCCGGCAACCATTCCTCCACATGCTGGGATTTAGCATGGACTGGTATGTGTCAAATATTTTCCTAAAATTCAAATTGTCATGTTATGTTTTTGAAAAGTATATGTTCATCCGTGTGTCAAATTTTCTTCATCTATGTTCAAGAGTAATAGACTCATGTATACATACATACATACATACACACACACACACACACACACACACACACACACACACACACACACACACACACACACACACACACACACACACACACACACACACACACACACACACACACACACACACACACACACACACACACACACACACACACACACACACACACACACACACACACACACACACACACACACACACACACATTTGTATAGCGCCGATATCCAGCTCAGCTCAAAGGCGCTTTGTTTTTCCCTCGTTCACTGGATGTCAATCTCAACGGCACATCGTATTGTCTCAATCTCTTTAATACATTTCCTTAGGTTTGGCGTATGTGTTTCTTTGTTTGAAGAGTGTAAATACGTAATTGTTCATGTTATATTTAACGGCGTCCATACTAGATAGAGGTATGGAGACAAGGGATTCTAAATATTGTCTCCTCACCTTTAAATAAATCGATAGTTGAATCTCGGGTAACTTATTGATTCACTGGTATTACATCTCCCATATCTAATCCAAACACAGGCTTCTAACACCTATGAGGTATCATAAGTGGTGTCACAGATTTGTTGAGTGACTTAGTGTTCACTTAGTGCTTTTGAAGACAAGGGAGAGAATCTAAAAACATCACAATTTATTTCTGTTTTGATTGATTATTAATGTATTTTAGAGCTGTAAATATGCCCTTTGCTTCGGTTGTAAAATTGGAGCGCTTATCTGTAAATTTTGAATGCCAATGTTTGGCGCTCATTTAAACAGAATAAGCGTCAGTCTTGGAGGAACTATATTTCTAACATAAATTCACGTACACAGATGTCAAAGGTGTGGAACATGGTCCAAAGAATAAAGGGCAAAAGTTCTAATCTACTGTACACCATCTGAAGGATGGTGATAATCTCTTAACTAATAAAGTTGAAATAACAAATAAAATTGGCGAAATTCTTGCCAAACACTTTCATCATTAAATTATGTCCCTGAGTTTCAAAACACCAGAAACAACAGGAGAAGAAAACAATCAATTCTAACCCAGACAATGGTGAAGATTATAATGAATTATTTTCACTACATGAGCTACATACTGCCCTTGAGCAAGCTCATGATACATGAACAGGGGCTGATGGTATCCCCTATCAGCTCTTGAAGCATTTGCCCGAATCATGTTTGGAAACGTTGCTAAATATATTTGATATGATATGGACCTCAGAGAATTTCCCAACTTCATGGCGTAATGCCATTGTAGTTCCCATTCCAAAACCTGGCCGGGATCATACTGATCCGTCTAACTACAGATCAATCTCTTTAACGAGTTGTGTCTGTAAAACCATGGAACGAATGGTAAATAATAGATTAACATGGTATCTTGAAACCAATAATACAAATAATCAATGTGGTTTCAGGAAAAATCGAAGTACCATGGATCATTTGGTACGTTTAAAATCCTTTGTTAAAAATGCTATAGTAAATAAACAGCATGCAGTATCGATATTCGTTGACCTCGAGAAAGCATACGATACCACCTGGAAGCATGGCATTTAAAAAGATTTACATGACTTCGGTTTGAGGTGTCGTTTACCTCTTTTTATATCACAGTTTTTAACAGACAGGCAATTTCAAGTCCGAGTGGGTTCAACCCTGTCTGACCATTACAATCAGGATCAGGGTGTCCCAAAAGGCAGTAATTTGTCTGTAACATTATTTAGTATTAAGATCAACAGTTTATCCAAGGTTTTAAATGATTCAATTGATGGATCACTTTTTGTGGATGATTGTAATAATTCTTGTCGCGGTAAGAATATGCATACTATTGAACGGCAACTGCAGTTGTGTTTAAACAAAATAAATAAATGGTGTCTTGAAAACGGCTTTAAATTTTCTAAATCAAAAACAAATTGCATACATTTCTGCCGTAAATATAAACCACACCAAAACCCAGAACTGTTTTTAATCGGCACTCCCATCAAAGTTGTCAAAGAGGCCAAATTCTTGGGTCTAATTTTCGACACTCATTTAACTTTTCTTCCGCATATCAAATCCTTAAAAACTAAATGCCTGAAAGCACTCGATTTATTGAAAGTCGTTTCTAATTCAAAGCGGGGAGGGGATCAAGCTACCCTCCTTCAACTATATAGATCACTGGTCCGCTCCAAGCTTGACTGTGGCTCTATTGTGTATGGTGGAGCCTGTAACGGTAACAGCAACCTCAGACTATTAGAATCTGTCCACCACCAAGGTATAAGACTTTGATCCTTTAGAACATCTCCTGTTGACAGTCTCTATGTCGAGGCAGATGAACCATCTCTTGCACAACGCCGTATGAAATTATCATTACAATATATTACAAATACATATTCTAACGAATCGAACCCTGCTTTCAACTGTGTCTTCAATCCCCTCTATGAGGATTTATACAACAAGAATCTTCCCTTGTTCCGCCTCTTGTGCTCAGAATTAAACCATTTATTTCTGCTGCTGGCATTGACCTTGAACAATATCTCCTTCCCGTCTTCTTTCTCCTCCTCCTTGGCAATTGGTGAGACCAGACGTTGTCTAACACTGACAAAGTTTAAAAATCAGAAACTAATGACTTACAATATAAACAAGAATTTAATCAGTTAAAAAGTAAATATAATACATACAAATCCTTATTTACAGATGGGTCCAAGGACGGTGGTGCTGTCTTGTGCCACTGTCATTGGATCCAAAACAATATCTTCTCGAATACCAAATAGCGGCCCTAGTTTTATAGCAGTAGGAAACGCCATACTAACAGCCTTAAAATATATTCAAAAACACCCAAAGTACAAACAATACATAATCTTTTCCGGTTCTCTTTCATGCCTTCAGGCTATTAAAAATCTTTCTTGCAAACATCCACTTTTAATAGAAATTATTGAATTATATAATGATCTTGCTACTGGCCAATACGACATCGTCCTCTGTTGGTTACCCAGTCATGCTGGCATTTCTGGGAATACAATGGCCGATCTTGCTGCCAAGGCAGCACTCAACAAATCTGTGACACCACTTCTTATTCCATACTCTGATTATAAAGCTGTCATTAGATCTTATATCTGTGATCTAATGCAGAAGAAGCGGGACACCCAAGTAGGTATCAATAAATTACATGAAATAAAACCCTACAGTGGTTACACCTACTTGGGTTGTCAGTCCAGATTTGAAGAGGTCATCATACGACGATGTCGTATTGGCCACACAAGATATACTCATGAGTACCTATTGAAAGGTGAGGATCCTCCGTTTTGTATCCCTTGTGATGAAAGAATCACGGTCAAGCATGTCCTGCTTGACCGTGTTGAATATTCCATCACAAGGGATATCTATTTCAAATCACGAACTATGAAGGATCCTTTTACTGATATAAGTCCTCATTTAATTATTGCTTTTTAAATAGATTTAGATTTGTTAACAGGTTTGTAAATAGATTAATATTTTATGATGGGAAGTTTAAATTAATAACTCATATTGTTGGTGGCTGTACCCTCAAGGGGGGTTAAAGTATTGTAAACTTATTGTCCTACTGAGAGGGTACGTTAGTCCCAAAACTCTCAAAGTAAATTTCAAACCTACCAGGATTTTAAGCGTCGAATTTTTGTGATTTTAATTATGACTAAATTTGACTACAATCGCTGGCTGCTGAAGGGATGATGTAAATCCAACTAGGGTCCATGTAGGTAGCAAAGGTACTGTAAGTCCCCATTGTCCTTAGTATGGTGATCAACCTTTAGTTGCTGGTGATCTATAGATCTATATATACTGTTGTCTCTCGTGATATATTTTTATGATAGCGTACTAGTTTTAAATTAAGAGCTGTGATAGTCTAGTGGCTTTACTGTCCTTCGATGACAGGTTTTTACGTTATACATTTATTGATTTGAATATTGATATAAACTGTTCTTGTCACGATATGGCTGCAATATTGCCGATGTGACATTAAGTCACTCACTCACTACTGACAGCCGCAATATACCTGGAATATTGCTGAGTGTGGCGTAAAACTAAACTCACCCACTCCATGGGGACGAGAGACATCCATGCTACGTTAACCCGTTGACCACAATTCTTTTATTGGCTATTCCAGCTGCATGGCAGCGGTCTGTTAATAATCGCCTCTGGACCAGACAATCCAGTGATTATCACCATGAACATCGATCTATGCAGTTCGAATATGATAAGATGATATGTGTCCAAGTGAGCGGTCCTGATCACCCGATCATGTCTGTCGCCTCTTACTGGTTGCTGAAGACCAGGCCCTAAGTCAGAGTTTTGACTAAGTTTGAGCTTTTACTCAAATTTGAGAAAACGCAGGAAAATGCATTTTCCAGAATTAAATGAAATCGATATTAAACTGGTTTGGTGGATAGATTACTTAAGTTGCTTGAGCTTTTTTATTTTAAAAATGCAGTTGAATTAAAAATTCAGCTGTTTCAAAGTGTCAAACTCAGTTTCAAATTTGAGTAAAAACTGAACTTTATTTCGAGAAATCTTATCCGGACCTGAAAGCCCAGTGTTACCTGTTTCGTCCAATACAGGCTGGCTATTCAGTGATGTTGATGTTTTGTATTTAGCATGTGATTTCTCACAAATATTGTCCATTTATATTCAGCTGAATGCAGCCAGGTTCGCTTGGAGAATGCCTTGACGCTGTCAGTTGTAAACCAGACTGTGGACGTTGCCTGTCGAAGTGGGTTCACCTACCTGCTGTCTCCTCCATTACCCTGCCCTCTTGGCACTGAAGTCCTTGACATAGGAAAGTGTGCTCAGACACTTTGGACTGATCAGGTACGTAGAGGAGTGAGCGAGTGAGGTTGACGCCACTTTCAGCAATATTCCAGCAATATCACGGCGGGGGACACCAGTAATGGGCTTTACACAATGTACCCATGTGGGAAATCGAACCCGGGTCTTCGGTGTGACGAGCGAACGCTTTAACCACTAGGCTACCCCACCGCCCCCGGTACGTACAGGAATGTGAGTGAGTGAGTTAACATTTATAGTCACATCGCCATTATTTCAGCCATTTTGTCAAAAAAAGAGCCATGTTATGATAATAAATTTAGTTTGAAGGACAGTAAAAAAACTAGAATATCACAGTGAGAGAATACATTTGAAGCATATGAAATACATCGTTATTTTGGACAATGCAGTATAAAAGCGGGCTATGCATCGCCAACAACTGAAGGAAGATCAACATACTAGTGAGTGAGTGAGTGAGTTAATATTTAACGTCATATCGGCAATATTTCAGCCATATCGTGACGAGAACATATTTGACATTGAAATGGAATATGTGGAGGACAGTATAACAACTACATGTAGAATATCAAAATTACAACTAAAACTAGACTGGAAAGTGAAAACTAATAGCACTGTTTGGACAATACAATATAAAAACAGGCTATAGATCGCCAATAACTGAAGGTAGAAACTAGACTGGAAAGTGAAAACTAATAGCACTGTTTGGACAATACAATATAAAAACAGGTTATAGATCGCCAAAAACTGAAGGTAGAAACTAGACTGGATAGTGAAAACTAAAAGCACTATTTGGACAATACAATATAAAAACAGGCTATAGATCGCCAACAACTGAAGGTAGATCACCATACTAGGGACGATGGGGACTTACAGTACTTTTGCTGCCTACATGGATCCCTGCTGGATTTACACCATCCCTTCAACCGCTGGCGATTGTAGGAAAATGCCTCAGAAAGAAATAGTCGTGATTACAGATCTCGGCCGTTGGCGATCGTATTCCAAATTAGCCAAACATGAAAGGAACATATATATTCTACGAATGAAAACATGTTGTATGAAAACTTACTCTCAGGGGTACGGAGAAGAGAACTTGTATCTTTGTCTTCCAGAATCATCCACAAACATCGTACAGCTGTAATACTGTTGAAACAAATACTTGCTCATGATACAGTCAGAACTGTACAATCGAGATTTCCTATGGATGTGGAAAGGGTCTTGTCGCTTCTATTTCTATAACAACTTATATTTTCCTTTTGGAAATAACTGTTGGTATTTTATTTTGGTATAATGTGCAGTCTGAATAGACAAAAGGCAGTTTTATATTCGGTAAGTAAACTATGTCATTATGGACAAATGTTGGAATACAAACGTCTTGTTTTCTTTACTTGACGATGGTGTATTGGCCACAGTCGGTTTACTGACGAATATCGGCTTATAAGTTATGATTGGTTTGTTGTTTAACGCCGCACTCGAGTGTGGACCAGACAATCCAGTGATCAACAGCTTGAGCATCTGTCTACGCAATTAGTCAACGAGTCTGACCACCCGACCCCGTTTGTCGTTTATTACAACACGCATGAGTCGCTATAGACCAATTCTTACCCGGTCTTTCACTGGTTTAAAACCACGCTGACTCAAACGAGTGAGTGAGTGAGTGAGTGAGTGAGTGAAAAATTATTGTTACATCGGCAATATTTCAGCCATATCGTGACGAGAGAACCTTATACAGCAATCAAAAAGTATGAAATATATTTAAAGGTTATAAAATCCTATCGTCAGTACACCACATTTTAACTACAGTCCGTTTGAGTCAGAAACGGACCAATGAATTGCAAATTTGATCAATGTACAAAAATTGCCACATAAATATAAATAGTGCACATGTTTATCATTTACTAATACCCAACAGCTTTCTTATATTTGAAAATTTTCCGGACACCACCAAAAAAGTTGTTTAAGAAACTATCATCATTGAAAACGCAAGAGTTGTTATCTGTCGGGGCGGGTTGAAACCGCAGAAACGGAACAGCCACTATCAAATGTCGGGCAACTGCAGACTGCGACTCCCAGGCTTCAAGGCGGCCTATGGCGATGTTTTGATTTGCGCCACTCAGTCGTGGCATGATGATTACCTCTTTTCCAGGCAAAAACGAATGACAAAATTAAACACAACGTGTGCCTTTTTATAGTGATGATACCCCATGCTCTTCCGCTTGTTTGCACTTGCATATTGTTTTGTATGTTGTCTTGGTGACGTTCCTCAAACGTTTCTAAAATAAGGCAAAACGTTAAAATTGCTACTCTTTGGCGCTGAAGCTGTTTAAATTCACACAAAGATGACATTTTGGAAAGAAACAGACAGTACATTTGGATCAAATTTGTATCAAACTCACCTATGCGTTTCTTTCTTGTGAAGAGTGTGGCTGGAATGTTGTAACAAACAAACAGACAAGCAAATATGAAAGAATATCTTAATCACACGGTATCTTCTCTTGATGACAGGCGAATCCATTTTTTGCTGATCTGCCTGGACCGTTATCCACTGGGGCGGAGATAAGAGTGAGAGGTTCTGGTGATGGAGGGAGCAAGTAAGTTTTCGAAAGTTAACTACAAGTCGTCAGATCTGTATCGGTGCTGTGGACTTTCAGTTATAACAAGTGGATGAAATACACAATGCCATTTTAGAAAGTGGTCAAATGTAAAATGTTATATTTGGGATTGGTGTGGGTTCGAATCCCGGGTGGGACTTAACCCCCCAAAAAGTACTAGAATCTGTACTTTACTGAGAAAGTGTAATCCCAAATATAGCATATGTTACATTTGACCACTTTCTAAAATGGCATTGTGTATTTCACAGCTTTCGGCCGTGGGAGCCGTTCCAATTAACATTTATCAGAGGGGCACACAAAGTCCGCAGTCAAAGTCAAAAGGAGTTTATTTGTAACGAGGCCAAGGGCCCATATACCAGATATAACTATACATAGTTAACAAGAGCATACAAGTGAAGTCTAAAGTGTTTCTAAATACCTATTTCTTTTATTTATGCATGATCAATGTAATACTGTACACGTCTGATTAAATTCTCCTGAGTTGTACATATCAGCCTTTTAAATTTATGGATAGAAGGGAATTTCCAAAAGCGTTCCGGAAGAAAAGTTATTCTCAATTCATTGTACAAGTGGCATATAAGTGTGAAATGATACTCATCCCCTACAGAGGTGTTGCAAATGGGACACAAACGTAAACCAGGTTCGATTGATAGCCACCTACCTTCATTATAACGTAGTAGCAAGACATTGCATCTGAATTTGGTGTAAGTAGAGCGCACCTTTTTTCCTAATATGATACACAGGTATCTTTCTGGTTCAAATATGAATTTATATTCTCTATACATCACATATCTAGAGCTGTTATTCAAAGTGGAAGTCCAACTTTGAGGAAATTCATTTATCAATGATGTTTTAAACCATTGTACAAAAGAAAGTTCATCACCAACAGATTGGTTAATCCAGATATATCCAAAGCCATGAGAAAACAAAATATTTTTTATGAACGATACCCAAATCTTTTTTCCAATGTCATCAAAATATCTTAGCATATAATACACTTTTTGGGTAATCTACACTCGCTCATTTTGAGCAAGTTTAGCCAATAACGTAAAAGCCGTAAGTAAGCATTTATATATATTTGATAGCAACCACATTCGCCATATACAATAGTATTAGGAGTTTGTTTTCCTACCCTTAAAAATCGTTTGCAGGCTAGAAGATGTACCTTTTTCAATAATTCATATTGCTTGACTCCCCAAATCTCACAGCCATATAATATCGGCATCACCTGAGAATCAAAGATTTTAAAATATATATTCGGGTCAATCATTCAAATCTTGTTTAGTTTGACAATGATTTCCATCAATGCTCTTTTACCCTGGCTTGCCAAGCCTGAAATGCATTTCGTCATTTTTAAGTTACTTGAAAACCAGACACCTAAATACTTGTAACTATTTACAGTGGCGATTTGGTTTCCTTTATAAAACCACTTTTCCTTATTCGAAAGAATGCCCCCTTTTCTGAACACAATAATATGTGTTTTATCAAGATTAACAGTTAACCCCAAATTGTCTGAAAACGTTTCAAGAATATTTAACTGGTTTTGAAGGCCGACAATTGATTCAGATACGAGGATGACATCATCTGCAAATAGAAGTAGGAATAGTTCATATAAATCAGGGAATAATTGCATGCCGTGTCTACCACATTCATTTACAGAGTTTGACAGTTCACTGATGAATAATGAGAATAACAACGGGCTTAGGATGAATCCTTGGCGCACTCCATTTGGGCAATTGAATAAATCGGTAATATCTGAAGAAGAGCATTTTACGCAAGCTTGTACAGATATGTAAATTGCTTTGAGTGCTGACAGCATTTTCCCCCCTAACCCGTTCTGTTTAAGGCAAAACCAAAGTTTATTTCTTTTCACATAATCAAACGCCTTTTCGAAATCTATGAAGGCGACATAAAGCTTTTTTCGTTTTTTCATAAAGCATTTTTCGACGATAGAATTTAGTGTGAATATGTGATCTGTGGTTGAATAACGAGATCGGAAGCCTGCCTGTGTTTCTGGAACTTTATCTTTTAGTTCTGTCCAAACTTTCAGTCTATTATTGAGCACACCAGTATAGATTTTGCTCAAGACGCTTAACAACGATATGCCCCTGTAGTTGTCGGGGTTATTTCTATCACCTTTTTTGTGTATTGGGACAACGATAGACTTTGTCCAGCTTGTTGGAAATTTTCCCGAATCTATACTCCAAAACGTCTTTGGGTTACTGGTTGCTTGCTTTAATGCATCAGCTTTGTTGCACTCATACGGGAGCTTTGTGCGCTTACAGATACCCTTATATAAATTCCTCTGTTTGCAATAATTACGTCAGTTTTCCTCAGATTTATTTCTTTGGAATCGACGCAAGGCTTTGCGAGTGAAGTATTTTTTACTTTTACAATATTTATAAAACCCCATTTGAAATACACTTTTTGTTACGTTTTTTCATACAGTCCACTGCACCAAGTACTGTTTGTACAAACAAGTCTAGAGCGTGGTCAACATCTGTATCAACTAATCTTGTTGCTTCAACAAAGGTGTCAGCAAGCTGTTTTATGCTGTCGGTGTACACGTATGGCTTAGTATGGTTCCATACAATTCTGTCAGAGCAGTTTCTGTCAGTATTATAATTATTTTCTAGCTGGTGGCTTTGCTCATAGAGTTTAAGTTTTGCCGTTAATGGCATATGATCTTCCTCTACTTGGGCCTCTACATGAAACGATTCAATCAGTTCAAACGCATCCATATTGGCAATGCAATAATCATTTACCGAAGAACACTGGCTAGATATGAACGTAAACCTGCCAGTTTTATCTCCTTGCACACGACCATTTAAAATATACAGCTTGTACGTATAACACATTTCCATTAGCATTCTACCAAATCTATTGATTGAGTTATCACAAGATTGTCTGTTGTCAAGAGGCACTAACTCTTCGTCAGGGAACACATCTCCCAGAGAGTTTGGTTGTGGTTCAGGTGGTTCATTGCCTGTCCCAACCCTGGAGTTCAGATCACTGGTGATAACTATATGACAGTCAGAAAGAATATCCAGGCTCTCTGAGAACCACTGATCAAGTAGTTCTATACTTGTTGGTTTCCCACACGATGTGTAGTATGTCGACCCCTCGGGTGGTATGTAGAGACCTATCAAAATAACTTTTTTTTTACTTTGCAATATCTGTCGGCCGCACTCAGCAATATTCCAGCTATATGGCGGCGGTCTGTAAATAATCGAGTCTGGACCAGACAATCCAGTGATCAACAGCGTGAGCATCGATCTGCGCAATTGGGAACCAATGACATGTGTCAACCACGTCAAACAAGCCTGACCACCTGATCCCGTAAGTCGCCTCTTACGACAAGCATAGTCGCTTTTTGTGGCAAGTATGGGTTGCTTAAGACCTATTCTACCCCGGATCTGCACGGGTCCCTGGCATCTAGAACTAATGACTAATGTTATGAGCATTAACCAATGTTATTGTGTTATGACGACTGTTATTTGTCTATTTCTACATTGAAATAATGGGATGACATGCATCAACCAAGCACCAATTCTAACCCAGATCTTTACTTTTACAGTACAGATATTCACGTACGAGGGACTGAGGCTGGAAACACTGTGTTCCTTCTGTCCATCCGCTGGTCAAGACCTGACGCAATCTTCAACACGCAATCGTCTGGCTCCTGGGGGTCTGAACTTGGGCCATCCGGCTTCATCTTTTCTCCAAACGTGGTGTTTGATGTCCTCGTGCGAATAACAACAACCCAGTTCCTGGTAGGCGAACTGTTCTTAATGACTACAAGTAAACAGGCTATCAAACAAGTTGCCAAACAAATTAGAACGGTTTCTCGTCATATAACGGTATTTTCGTCTGATTACCATGAAGTTGCAAACTGACAAAGGTTAAAGCTCAGTAGGACAGTGGTAAAAGAGTTCGATCGTCATACCGAAGACCCGGTTCGATTCCCCACGTGGGTACAACATGTAATGACCATTTCTAGTGTCCCCATCGTGATATTGCTAGAATATTAGTAGTGAGTGAGTTTAGTTTTACGACGCACCCATCAATATTCAAGCTATATGACGGAGGAATATTAGTAAAAGCGGAGTAAAACCCAACCCACTCACTCACATGTACCCCAGGTTTACTGGTATCATCTTGGCAAATTGAATTAGTAAATGAATTCCACACTGGAGGTGTATGGATGCTTGTATAGATTCCAAATAAATAATTAAAAAGAGACGATAAACCCATATTAAGTTGATATTTTGATATTCAATTATATATTTCTGAACATTTATATTATGTATAGCAAATATGCATTTTAGCGAAAAGTTATTTTATTGTCCAACGGTCATGGTAAGCAAGGGACACAACGGAGCACTCACCAATATATCAGGTATAAAGCGGTGGTCTGTAAATAATCGAGTCTGGACCAGGCAATCCAGTGATTGCCAACAACTGATGGTAGACCACCATACTTATAGTGACCATACTTTTGCTACCTGCATGGACCCAAGCTGGATTTACACCATCCCTTCAGATATTAACATTTCGACAAATCTAGCCATACATTTATTATACGATAAAATGCGGTAAGATTAAATATACTTTGAAAGACGTGGTCTTACATACACTCTCAGGGGGACAATAACTTTACACTACTTTAACCCCCTTTGAGGATACAGCCACTAACAATCTCAGTTACGAATTTAATCTACCAGTTATAAAATACCAATTTCCATTTACAAAGCATATAATCAGAATTTATCTAATAAATTTTTTTATTTCTTTGAAAACCAATTATTAAATGATAATTTACATTATAAAAGAATCCTTAATTGTTTTGACACTGAAATGTTTATCCCTTTTGATGGAAAAAATCAATACAGTCAAGTAGGACATGTTTGACCGTGTCAGCCATATTGTGACTTGATAAAGTTATACGATAATGTATTTTAAAATACCACAGATTTGTTTTTAAAACTAGTTGTAGAAAATTAAAACTGAGTTTGGCTCTCAGGCATAAAAAATGGGGCAAGAAGACGCCAGCAACACAGTTATATACATCATACTAGGGACTCCTCCAAATAGAGATAATACAACCTTTGCTAGGGTATCACACCCTTACTGAAGTGGTCATCTGAAGGTGTCGCATTTGACACCCTCATTATACTCATTCATTTTCATTGAAGGGAGAATCACCAACGCTGAAGGGCTGATGTAAATCCAGCTAGGGTCCATGCAGGTAGCAAAAGTACCATGGTCCCTAGCATGGTTATCTACCTTCAGTTGTTAGTGATCTACAGCCCGTTTTTCATATTGTATTGTCTGCACTATTTGTCTACTTTTAAAAGTTACTTGCTAGCTTTAATTCTCTAACTGTGATACTCTAGTTATACTAGCCACATAAAGAAACTGTGCATTGTTAAAATATTATCACAGTTGATAAGTACCGATAACAATGTCAAAGGTACATATAAACTTTAATGGAGGGATCATGAGACCATAACAAGTCCTGAGAATTTCAATTGAAAAGTCAATCACAATGACGTCACGAGTCCACAAGCGGGACAGGGGTCAAACGACCATGTCACAAGCTCAATAACGGGTATGTCCACCATCGGCATTGAGAACAGCAGTGCATCGACGACACATAGAGCCTATCAAACGTGCAAGGAAGGCTTGTGGGATATCACGCCAGATTCTCTCAAGTTCTGTTGCAAGGTCAAGGACGTTATCTGGCGGATGAGGAAGACGGCGTAGACGTCGATCCATCTCGTCACAGACATGCTCTATCGGGGAGAGATCCGGTGAATTTGCAGGCCAAGGCAGTAAGTCAACGTTGTGGTGTTGCAAGAAATCCATAGCAACCTTTGCCGTATGAGGGCGGGCATTGTCCTGTTGGAATGTTAACCCAGGGCCATGACGTTGCAGAAAAGGAATTGCCGCAGGTCGAAGAATCTGATCCCTGTAGCCCACACCAGTTAAATTGCCCTGAACAATCACCAAAGGAGTTCTTTGGCGTGCTGTTTTTCCACCCAAAATCATCACGGAACCACCACCAAAGCGATTCCACTCCAAGACACAGGCCTGTGCATAACGTTCTCCCACGCGTCTATAGGCACGTTGACGTCCATCACTATGGGAAATGTTAAACCTGGACTCATCTGTAAAAACAACATTTCTCCACCAAAACAAGGGTCTGCGGACATGATTTCGGCACCACATTCGTCGAGCTTGTCGATGACGTTGTGTCAGGATAGGCCGTATGGCGGGACGTCGTGGTCTGATCCCGTGATGACGTAAACGTTGTCGAACTGTGTTGGGATTGATACGGCGAAGTCCTGGGATGGTTCGGGCAGTCATCACTGCAGGCTGAAACCTGTGGCGAAGATGGGTCACCCTTATCCATCTGTCCTGTCTTGGCGTTGTTACACGTGGACGTCCAGAACGTGGCCGATCGATGACGTCATTTGTGTTCTGGTAGCGTCTCACCAGTGCAGAAATGGTGTTCCGGTGGCAGTGGACATGTGCAGCCACTTGTCGTTGAGACATTCCCCCACGGACCATCCCAATGGCCTCATGACGTTGTGCAGACGTGAGCCTTGGCATGCTATGCGTTTCAATAGCCGTTTAATTTTTTGAACGATCGCAAGGGCAGGGGTTGAGCTTTCCAAAGTGACAGTTTTGTGTGGCATTCATTTGCTCTGTTTCTCTTTCCCGGAATACACGTGCAACAACGTATTGCACGTCTCAAGGACGAACCCACTGACGTCACGGAACGTGGCACGTGCATGCATGTTGGATACATGTCACTAATCTCTGAGTTTAAATCCTTATGTGTCTACACAGGTTTGATAAATTTAGATTTTAAATTTTTGTATGCACAGTTTCTTTATGTGCCTAGTATATTTTACTGTCCTTCGTCGACAGGTTTTCTATAATTTAATTGCGTTTATTGTTAATTTAGAACCTTTAAGTCACATATATTGCCGATGTGACTGTAAATTTTAACTCACTCACTCATTCACTCATGGAAGGGAGAAAATCCCCCTCAATGTATTCCGTGTTAGTTCTTGACTGTCAATCACCTTTTGTTGGATTGTGTTGATTTTGGGCTTTCGACAACGATTTTATACTTTTCAAACTTTCTGAACTTTTCAGAACCGTTTTGAAAAAATAGAGTATTTGAATGAAATTAAACTATATGATAAAATGTAGATTTAAATTCTAAATGTTAGTGTTTACTGTGATAGCTCACTGAAGTGTTTGTGATCTTCGCCATCCCCTTTATTCTATATTCGATCCTTTTGGAAAATGTTAACTTTGCTTTTCTTCCAGCGAATAGATGCAAAATTGCGGAAGCAGCTTTAAAGATCATATATGCTCTAGGGGTACAAATGCATAAATGATTTACTGGCATCGTTATAAATGAAACCCCATCATTAAAACTACTCATTTCGACATTTAATTAACATAAATCGACCTTTTTGACAACAGTGCACAATTCTCTCCCGCGAACGAAATTTCAACCAATCAGAGGGGCGCGTCTCCGTGACGTAATGTGAGGTATGCAAGTGAGGCACGCTGTAGAATCGTGACAATTGTTGTGAAAATGAAAGCTGTATGTTTACACAATCTACTGTCATTTAATCTTGTCACCTGCTTTGCCTAGCTTCCGAGTTACAACAACGATTCTTTCAAAACGCTTGTTGTCATAACGGTTACCTGTTGGCTAGGTTTAGCTTTTGTTCGCCAATTTACTCGGCGCGGGTGTTAAACCATTTATGTCAAGTGATTTAGATATGGTTAATTAAGTGGGTTGGCGTTTCGGTACAAAGACTCTGACATGTCCGGAAGTAATTCAGACAGCGACAATCTTTCCCTTCCCATGGATAGCCAGTCCTCAAGCAGTGACTGTTCCTCGGATACCAATGATGAAACAATCGCTAAGCCTTATTTGTTTAAGCCAGACGCTAGTGATAGTGAAAACGATCAACTAGTATCTACATATTGGTGAGTGGACGTTAACCACGTGAATGTAGCAAGTAAGTTATGTATCATGCAATATTGTCACTTCGACCCCCACCTCGCTTCCGTGAAAGAAATCGTAATGTTGTCGTAAAGTTGTGTCATGCAAAATCCATTTGGTCATGATTCAAATACAGATTTAAGTACGTGTAGAAAGGAGTTTTGATTTTCTAACTTGATGAAAACAAACCAAAATCTAATTGATTCTCGAACTGACTTCAGTCGGTGACGTCACGATTTTTAAAAATGTCGGTGCCCTGTCGCGAACATCCGCCAGTCTGAGAATAAATGCTAGATTAGGTTTGTTTTCACCTAGTAACAAAATCAAAACTACTTTCTACTGGTAGTAAAATATGTAATTGATTGATGGCCAATGGGATTTTGCATGACATAGCTTATAACATAACAATTTTTCTCTTGGAAGCGAGGTGGGTGTCAATATAATACTACTTACAATATTATTGTCACTTCCACCACACACAAATCGTTATGTTACAGGTTGTGTCATGCAAAATCCTTTCGGTCATCAATCATTTACTACAACTAGTAAGTAGTTTTGATCTTTTAACTCGATGAAAACAAATCTAAATAGCATTTGCTATCTTGGAAGCGCGGTAAGGGTCGAGCAATCCGATTTATTATATACTACAGGCTTCCACAACGCCGCTCCGCACTCACAAGCATAACCCATTTAGCACGAACTGCGGGTCTGAAGGAAATCAGTGCATGGTGACACCAT